TAGCTCTGTGAGATGAAACAGAAGCTTAGGGGCCATTTATTAATTAAAGTTTTTTATTATTTTGAACAATTAAGAAAACCATAACATAACAACCCAAAACAACAAAAAAAACCACACTCAGTGAAGAAAAATAAATAAATATATAAATTAAATAAATAAACTGTTGCACACACAGTTAATTCTTAATTCATACTGTATCTCACATTGTCTTCATGTTGTAGGCCCATATAAACAAAAAAAACTGTCCCATTGTTCTGTTAGAGTCTCTGTCTTACTGCTCAGTCTTCCCAGCATTTTCTCACATGCAGCATTTTCAGTCATTTTCCACTTTTTTAGGGTTGGAGTCCGAGGGTCTTTCCAAAGTGCTAAAATGAGACGAGCACACGTCACAATCCCAGTGCTTAACACTCTAAAGCCTGCTTTGTCTAACTTTGGCACCTCACCTCTGTCCCCCAATAGGCACAGTCTTGGTGATCTAGGTAATTTAAGTTTCACCCAACCCTCCATATATTTTAAAACATTTTCCCATATTGGGAAGACCAATGGACATTCCCATAAAGCATGTCCTAACGTACCTTTTCCTTCTTGGCACTTCCAGCACAGGTCGTCTTTACTGGTTCCCATTTTATGAAGTCTCGTTGGTGTATAATAGTACCTATTGAGAATTTTATATTGAATACATTTGCCTCTAGCTTCCCTAATGTAGAACCCATTTTCAGAAATAATTGAATCCCATGTTCCCTCATCGATGGAACAATCCAGATCTTTTCCCAAGCCCTTCTAAGACTTACATCTGTTGTTTTTAACCCAATGACATAAATGATACCATTTTGATGCCTTTGCAGTTAAGGGTGGAAGTACAAAAAAATTCTCTATGACATTTTTCTCCTCAGACTATTTTATTTTATCTTTCAGACAGTCTCTCATTTGTAAATATCGCCAAAAATGGCCGGGTCCTTCCAAATTAAACTTTACTGTCAAATCATTGAAGGACATAAACATGTTATCTTCATATAAGTCACTTATTAATGTTATGCCTTTTTGTGCCACTGTGGCCAATAAAGTGTTTGTTTACCTATTTTTATTTTGGGGTTGAGCCACAGTGGTGCATATTTTTGAAAGTATGGGGAGAGATTACAGCTCTTGCGAACCTCTTGCCACACCATTTTTGAAAACGTTAAAATAGGGTTGTCTACTCTATTCCCTTTATTGTCCGGTTTTTGAGCCAACACCTCAATGGGAGTGAATGGAAAGACCAGTTCACGTTCCATTAGAACCCAGTCTAGGTCCGAATTTATTGCTGCCCAGTGTTTACACAGCTTGAACATCTCAAATGAGATGCTGTAATGTTTTATGTAGGGATAAACCTCCTTTTTGTCTCGGTTGGTACAGTCGACCAGGATTAATCCGCGGTCTACCACCATCCCAAAGAAAGTGTTTTATCATATTATCATATCTTGAGAAAAATTGAGGTGAAATACAAATTGGTATCATTCCAATGAAATAATTGATCAGAGGAGCTACTGCCATCTTTATCGTATTTACTTTGCCCCATAATGTCAAGTACAGCTTACCCCATTTCTCCAAATTAGTTTTAATCCTAGTTAGTAGTTTTCCTACATTATCATTCATAATCTCATCGACATTCGGATTAAGTGTTATTCCTAAGTATTCTATCCATTTTTCTAACACATTGAAATTGAAAGCTGATAATTTCCATTCTCATAGAAATTTGTTTTAAGCCTGAACAATGCATACTCTGCTTTCTTATTATAAATTTCATGAAGATTAAACTTCAATTGGCATATTTTTCTAAAGTTACTCTACATGATTTTCTGCCGATTATTTTTCCAAATGACTTATCTGTTTTACCAAAGTCTGTATTTTTTGTTTACTTTCTTTTGCCTTCTTTGAACACTATCCCAGACATTTGCTTCTAATAAAGGCCTTTAGGGTGTCCCATACAGTAGCCAATCTTTCTGTGGTCCCAATATTTACATCCCAAAAAAAAGTTAATATCATCTTTTAATGCTGCCACGAATTGTTCATCCCGTAAAAGACTTGGGTTTAGTTTCCACCTGCCCCGATTATATTTCTCAACCTGTAAGTCTATATTTAGTTCTACTGGGGCATGATGTGATAATATGATCATACCTATATCACAGTTACCAGATCAGCGCTCAAACTAGATATTTAAAAATAATCAATTCGGGAATAACTTTTATAAGAATGTGAGTAAAACTTATATTCCCTTTCTAAAGGAAGTACTAGTCTCCAGATATCAACCAACCCGGCTTCCTCTTTAAAGATAGCTGCTGCAGATTTATTTTTGTACTAGGGCCTAGATTTGCACCACTCCTATCCAAATACTGATCCGGAACCTGATTAAAATCTCCTCCCAGCACAATCTGGCCCTCAAAATCACCTAATATCTTAATCATTTTGGCAACAAAGTTGGGGTCTTCCCTATTTCGGGCATATATGTTACATAGTATTACTTTCGCACCATTTATAAGTACTTGGAGACATATTACTCGTCCTTCAGTATCTTTAAACTCTCGCAATGGTACAAAGTTGATTTTCTTATTAATAAGTATTATAGCTCCACGGCTTTTCCTAGATACAGAGTTATGAAACACCTTCCCAACCCAATCTCGTTTCATTTTCAGGGCTTCTGTTTCATTTTCAAAATGCGTTTCTTGTAAAAATGCTATATCTGCACTACGGGACTTAAGATAGCTTAGGACTTTTTTTCCTTTTAATTGGTGTACTACAACCATTGATATTCCACGTCACAATATTAGGGGCCTTTCAAAGCCAAACATCCACAAACGGCTCTGAAACGAGTCCTAACAGCCGACATACATAAGACTGCGTCTGGGCTGAGTTTTACTTTGAAAGGCTCAGGCCGGAAGCATCGTTCGTGTAGCTTGATGCTAACAGGTGGACGATGTCGGCGTGTGTCGGGGTGCTGAAGCGCCGTCTCGGGGCTCACTCTCCGGCTGGTTTCGCGTCGCCGTTGCAGCCGCTGAGATGCCCGGGGGGCGGGCGGTGGGAGTCCAGCACGCGGACAGGTACGGCCCTGCTGCTAAAGCTAGCCGGCTAATATTAGCCGAACAGTCCAGGTATCCGGTGACAGGACCGATCGGCTCATCGGTAACAAACAGCTGCTCACATGATCAAACCTTGCAGGCCTGCACACAGGTAAATGAGCATGCATGTTCCGAAGCGTGTTACACTGAAAGGACTTCTGAACTTTGACCTGCTGTTGGTCAAAGTCTGCTCAGGTGTGTGAAGCTGTCGCAGAGCAGCTCCACTTCCGCTGAGTCCGACAAACAGACCTCCCGGTCAGCGGGCTGGAAAAGCGGGAACGTTGGAATAACAAACACACAGAACGTTTTAAACGGTCCAAATATAGTTAGGGTGTGCAATCATTTACAATAACGTAATTATGCTTTTATAACACTAACCAGCCACTTTATTAGGTACACTTTAGGTGCACACTAATCAGCCTATCGCAAGGCAGCATTTCGGTGCATCATGATGAAGAGCAGATTTAGGGAACTTTGAGTGATTCAGGAACTGCTGCTCAGCTGAGATCTCCACACAGACATCCCTGAGCTCACATCCAGCAAGCAGCAGGTCTGGCAGGAAGTGACCTGCTGAGGTCAGAGGAGTGTCACTCCTGTGAGTACGAACAGGAAGCTGAGGCTGCAGCTCACACAGACTCACAAACAGACAGCAGAAGATGGAGAAAGGTTTCCTGCTGTGCTCGGCTCAGAGTTTAAAGCCTGGATCCGTCCTGCCTGTGTCAGTGCTCAGCCTGCTGTGATGCTGTGGAGGTCTGTCAGCACCACCTGAGCGCCAGTGCTGCTGCTAACCTCAGCTTTGGGATGTGGAGGATAATGATGTCATGGTGATGTCATGTTAACGTGGACTAAAATCTAAGGAATGCTTTCACCCTGTTGCGTCTGTGACATGAGGAATTAAAGCAGCTCTGAACACGAACCAGAGAAGATGTGCAGGATGCAGAGGGGTCTGCTCCTCCTGCTTTATACTTCTGCTGCTGGGTCTGAGAACCCAGCTGCTGTCAGGCTGATCTGTGCTTTCACTTCACACTCAGAGTGAGTCCGGCCCACAGGTGTGCCGCTCCTCTGGCCCACAGATATTTAACAAAGCTCAAACAGAGTTTCAGCTGTTCTCATCTGAAGCAGGAACACTGTCTACCTGTCAGGAACACCAAAGCTGACTCTCCCCCTCTTTGGGATTCTCGTCTGAATTTCAGGTGAAACCCTTCGGCCACTAGAGGGCGTCAGAGTCCTGGACCTGACCAGGTGAGTGTGAGCGCTGCAGTAACACTCTGAGTTGTTGGCAGTGTGGAGGCTCAGCACTAACGTGGATGTTCATGTTTGCAGAGTTCTGGCCGGGCCCTTCGCCTCCATGATCCTCGGAGACCTCGGAGCCCAGGTCATCAAAGTGGAGAGACCAGGTGAGCGCTGGGCCTCATTCCTGCCCCGCTGTGAGCAAAGCATTGTGGGATACTGTTTGTGCGTTTTGTCAAACAGGTGCGGGTGACGACACCAGAGCCTGGGGTCCTCCATTTGTGGCGTCAGAGAGCGCCTACTTCCTCAGCGTGAACCGGAACAAGAAGGTTGGTGTGTGAGCGCCGAGTCGGCACAAACACATTCATTAGAAACAGTTTAAGCACCAGCAGGACTCTGACAGGGTTCAGTCTGCAAACTGGAAGGTGTTCAGCTGTAAACAGAGCAAACATGTCAAACGTCAGCCTCCCTCGCTCACCTGACGCCGATGCTTCATCCGTGTTTGGGATAATTTGGGATGAACTGTGATTTCAGAGCATCGCCGTGGACCTGAAACATCCCAGAGGAGCACAGATCGTCCAGCAGGTACGACACAGTGACCAGGTCTCTGTTTCTGCCTGAGCCTGTTCCACTCTCTGGTTGTGTGTCAGCTCGCAGGAGTGTGTGACGTGCTGCTGGAAAACTACGTGCCGGGGAAACTCCGTCAGATGGGTTTGGGATACGAGCAGCTGAGCGGACTCAACCCTCGGCTCGTCTACTGCTCCATAACAGGTAACAGTTTTTAACAGGCTTACATGTGTTTCAGGCCCCACCCCCGTGTTTCCAGGTGTGTCTGAGGCACCTTTAAAGGAGTGGAAAAATGGAGCTGATAGGCTCCACCCACTCAAGTCACATGATTCAAGGACTGTGGAACGTCCAGTATTGATGGATTTAGGAGCTGTGGAAACACACCTCCACCTCCTGCAGTTCTCCCTCTGAGCCACTAGATGGGGTCAGACTCCACAGTATGAACAGACTTCCTGCCGGAGCGCTCTGCTTCCTGTCTGCAGGCTGTGATGTTACAGCACAGGAGAGGTGGAGGTGTGCTCTGCAGAGAAGAGAAGCAAGACAGAGCAGAGGTGGTGAAGGTGGAGGAGTTTAAATACCTGCGGTCAACCAGCCACAGAGAGCAGGCAGGGTGGAGACGAGTGTGACAGAAGGACAGCTCAGAGTCAGAGAGGTGGAGGTAGTCTGAGCACGTGCAGAGGGGGGAGGGTGGAGCTGCTCAGAGGAAGTTCATGGATGTCTGCAAACAGGAATCTGTGTGTCACTCTTCCACAGGGTGACTCTTCCTCTCCACACGAGCACTAATAAGGTTCACTCCACTCCTCGGGTGGAGTAAAGAGCTGTGACCCTGCAGGGTGGAGCGAGGATTTGGGCAGAGTGCTGTTAAAACCCGTCCGTCAGGAGAGCTGATGGAAAATGTGTTGAGAATAAACGAGCGACATAAACGATGAAGGAGTTTCATTCTCTCTGCTCCGCCTCCTTTCTTCTGTTTTCTTTCCATTTCCTGTTTGTGTCCTTTGCCCTCATTCCTCTCCGTGTCGCTCTCACTGCTCCAGCCCCTCCCGTCCTTTATTGAGGAGAAATGAACTACATTACCCAGGAGGCCTCATTAAGCTGCAGCAGCTGGATGCAGTGGGCAGATTTACGGCCTGGTTTCATCCTGAGCTTTCGGAGCGACGTCCTGGACGTTTGTCCCGCAGAGCAAAGAGCAGCAGCAGGTTTAAGTTCTGGTGTCACTTCCACAGGAAGAACCGGTCCACAGAGTGTGGATCTTCCATGTGTTCATCAGCTCGTTGACATTTAAACAGGCGCTTCACAAAACATGGACATAAAACCTGCATGTTCTTTAATGTCCAGCGGGGGGCGACTCGTAGAGCAAAGCCTGACTGTACAGACGTTTATGGGGAACAGAGTTTACTGCTCAGCTGATCTGAGGTCAGCAGACACTCCTGATGAGTTCACGGTCCGAGTCGCTGGTTTCAGGTGTGATCGAATGAAAAGCTCGACCCCACCAGAGACGACAAGGACAGATGTTTAGATGTGCACGTACGACGTGCACGGAGCCGCGCACTGACATCGTTCTCCTGCAGATGTTCGCTCAGCGAGCCTCGGAGGTCACGGCTGTTTCTCAGGCTGTCTGTGGCTGCTTATCATTTTCAAAGCCTTTGTGGGATTTTTCTTTGTTTCCTGATATAAAGCGAGCTTTGAGCTCGGACTGTTTAGGAAATCAGTCTTGTTGTTTAGTCACAGCTGCAGACTCAACATCAGCTGGAATGAGGTTTTCCTGTAAGAGGAGGCGCCGAGAGGCCGATGGTTTGATTCCCTGCTGTGTTTTCACTCAGGTCAGAGAGAAACCAGACCACTGGCACCGAGGCAGTAATGTGTGTGTGTGTGTGTGTGTGTGTGCGCTCAGGCTACGGACAGACCGGTCCTCACGCTCAGAGTCCAGGGTACGACTCCATCGCCTCGGCAGTGTCAGGGATGATGCACATCACCGGGCCCGAGGTCAGACTCAGACCGCACATGCTCAGTAACGTCCTGATCCTGCTGAGCATGAACAGGTTTCCATGTCTTTACAAATGAAACACTTGTGATGTTACTGTCAGACTCTGACTGATGTCTGGCTTCACTTTACAGAACTTTGCGACGCGGCTGTAGAAATATCAGCACGCAGGAAGTGCAGAAAGTGAACTTCAAATTAAAATGTTAAACATTTTCTTGGCTCGTCATCGTAGCTGAGAATGTAAACACTGTGAAACAGTCTTCAGGATGCAGATATTTTATTTCAAAATAAAAGCCAGGCACATGAAACTTACGGTCATGAACAGATGAAGAATGTTGAAGCAGTTTAGAGTTCATCTTTGATTTACTAGTTACTGAATGAAACTTTATGTCCTCACAGTTCGACTCACCCCTCGTTTCTCTGTTTTCCTTCCAAGCAGCCAGAACTTCTTGTATTGTTTGAGTGGCTCCAGCTTCCTGAAGCTCTTTCAGTTCTTCTGTAAACATTGGCTGCTTCATGTCTCACCTTCAGTCCAGTCCTTGTACCCGAGCATTTTCCTCGGGGGACGACCAGTGTTGTGCACAGAACAGACACCAGGTTTAAATGTGACCTTTAGGCTCTTTACTCCCACACATCACTTGATCCTCTTTAGCAGAGTGAGGCCTGCAGACCTCTGACAGCCCTGTCCTACAGAAAGAGGCACAGATAGAAACAAACATGCTCACACCAAATGTTCAGCTTCAGGCTTGTTGTTGTGCAAACTCAGCGTTCCTTATTTCCTGTGTTTGTACTTTCATACGTACAATAATGAGACAGATTTCCTTAGTATATGAAACGAGGGGTGGCTCAAGACTTTTGCACAGGATTAATCTGGAATGAGTCCTTGTAAATCTCAGCACTGACAGGAAGTACTGACTCTGACGCGTTCACAGCACCTCAGCTTTTGGATCATCTCCCATAATCCTCTGTTTCTGCTGGCAGGGCGGCGACCCGGTGCGTCCGGGAGTCGCCATGACGGACTTGGCGACGGGGCTGTACGCGCACGGAGCTGTCATGGCCGCCCTGCTGCAACGGCAGAAGACGGGCAGAGGAGTTCACATCGACTGCAACCTGCTGTCATCACAGGTAAAACCACCTGACGATGAGCCAATCAGCTCTCAGTATTCTCCACAGGTGAATGCAGTGTAAGAGACGCCAGCACACCAGCGGGTACTCCAGGTGCTGAGAGGAAGTGATGTACAGGTGGGGGCGCTGTGACGCTCAGCTGGCAGCTGAAACCCACTCAGGTGACACACAAGCTCAGTCAGAGCCTCAGGACACATCAGCTGAGCAGACGCTCTTACCTGCAGCAGGTACAGCGCTGTGTTCAGGGTCAGCTGGTAAATGAAAGCGCTGAGGCTGGCTGATCGATGGAGTGTTTGTGACGGTGCAGATAAGCAGTCGCTGCAGCTGTGTGTGGAGCAGGAAGGTGGAGGCATTGAAACAAGCCTGTGATTTATCCTGATCAGTTTAAACAGACGCGTCAGTGTTTCTCTGACTGTTTAAATGAAGCGAGCGATTCTTAATCCTGCAACCACCCGGACTCGGAGACGGACGGGACCCGCGTCCCGCTTGGACCCGGCACCTCCCGGGGTGCGTTTGATTTGCAGTGTCAGGACACGCTGCTTGTCTGACAGTGTTGCTTTTAAAGGCATGTTTTATGTTTTCTGCATTCTCATTTTTCACCTCTCTGGCTGGGAAAGGCGCTGCGACACGACCGAGTTCAGCTCGTTTCAGGACTTTATGATCCTGCAGAGAGTTTCAGTCTGCAGTTTAGAAACAAACACGCAGAAACAGCTGCTTCGGCCTGAAAGCGCTGGGCAGCTCAGCGGGGTCGTGTTTGGACAGAAAGGGACAGATGATGGGATGACATGTGGATAAAAGTTAACGTGTGTCTCGCTGAGTTTTGGTCCAGCATGCGGGACCGGAGCAGCGTCCGTGCTCCTCAGCACCGACCTGCCAAGAAGATTCATAAACGCCACCAACAAACACCAACCAGCAACCTTTAAATTTAACCCATGAACAGAAATGTTACCTGAAGTCTGGACTCACGATGAAGGATGATGATAAATATGACTGCATACACCAATCTGTAGCACGCCTCCTGTGATTGGTTAACAAGGCTGTGAGGTTCTGATCCTTGCGGTCGAGTCTTGAGGCTGCTACAAATAAAATACCCACAATCCCCCTCTTAAATCCCACTGCATTCCTGTCTGAAGTGCTGCGACCACAGGCACGCCGGCCGCAGTGCGAACAATGAGTGCGCACAGCGCTCTGATCCGAGTCCGTGTGGAGCGTGTGAGCGTCGGGGGATGGAACCGCTACGAGCTGCCTGCAGGTCCCACAGAGCTTCAGGCGCAGGAGAGTCAAACAGTCTGAAGCTCAGTCAGAGGAAGTCAGTGTCATGCAGAAGAATAGTTTGATAAGAAGATAAAAGCCTGTCAGCACCCTGACCCGGGGGGGGGGTCATCCTTGAAGCTTCGTTTGTAGAAGAACAACAGAAACCGTCCACGAGCGTCTCTGCAGCGACTCGCTGCAGTTTGAGTCAGGTGATCGTGATGTGGCTGAAGTGCAGATTCTTTGATTCAAGTTGATGAAGGGAAATATTGAAGTAACCCTTCAGGTGTCTGTGAGCAGCACGCACACCTCACAGCATCATGTGACTCGCTGAGGCAGGCGTGTCGGTGAAGACGTTGGAGAAGCTTTAACCTCATCGTTACCTGCTGGTGAAATAAAGCTGACAGGGTCCAATAATTGTTTTATAAATTCATGACCCTGACTAACCGTGATGTTTCCAGACTCGGTGACCGTGTTAAACTCTGCAGCTTCATCGTCATGTTTGTAAGTGTGATCCATGATGTGCCTTCATCACGCTGCTCATATTTGCAGCAGCTCTTCAGACGCAGTGAGCGGCTCGGTGTGCACGCTGAGGAGAGATCAGCTGTTAGCGCCCGTGTGACCGGGCTCAGGTGTAACTGCGGCCTCCCTCTCTCTCAGGTTTCCTGTCTCAGCCATATTGCTGCTAACTACCTGAATGCGGGGAAGGAGGCGAGGCGCTGGGGGACGGCCCACGAGAGCATCGTACCTTACCAGGTAACACCTTCAACTGGCCACTATCTAACAATAACTTTATTGATATCACACCTGCAACACAGAAAAGACAGAAAAAACCTCAGGAAATATAACATTGAATCAACATTGTTAGATAATAAAAGAATAAAACGGTGACGTCAGGAAAACAGAAGAAAACTGAAAAGTGATGCACGAATATTAAATAATGATGAGCTGATCTCAGCTGTGACGACGGCAGCAGAACAAAGGGTTGAACTTTATAATGTGGCCAGTCAGTCCTTTCTAATTAAACAGAGTGTCATTGTTATACTTACAGGTGGCTGCACTGGAATCAGGTTTCATAGGAAACAAAGGAGTAATTATGGTGTGATTTCCTGCTGATTCAGCAGAAACATGTTTCTCTATCTTACATAGCATGTTGTAGTTCTCAGGGCCGTGTTGTGGTTTGACCTTTAACCTTTGGGAAAGGAGACAGACTCTACTGTAGGAACATTAAAGAGCAGCACTTACATGTAGCTACAGTAGAGTCACAAACCAGAGTTTACACAGACGTGTCCGCTCTTCTGTCACTGCGATGTTACGGTTTAACAGCGTTTAGCCTCTAAACGCACCTCAGCCGGATGATCGAAGCGCGTCGTTGGTCGGCGAGCCGTGAGCCAGCTGACTGCGTGGCTCTTCTTCTCTGGTGTCTCTTTGAGCGTCTCTGCCAGCTGTAGTTCTGGTGTGTTTGACAGTTTCCCTCCAGGCTTGAGGAGACTCTGTGAGCTTGTTTGTTATTAACAGACTTTATTGCATCTGCGGGAGGAACACACGTCTCTGACGCCAGAAACTGCTTCAGACTAAGATGGGCTGAATTACACTTTCAGGGTCTCAGCGCACGCTCTGACCTCCCTCTCTCCGGCCACACCCTCCAGCTTTGTTGGTGCAGATTTACGGATCTGAGAGTTTTCTCAGAGCTTCTAACATCCAAATATACGAGTCTCAGGCGTGAGCGTTGTCAGAGGAAGAGCTGTTTGAGATCTGAGGAAGTCCTGAGAGTTGACGTCAAGAGAAGGACGGAGCAGGACGAGCTTTGAGCCATAAATCAGATGGACAATTATCAAACAATTAGAAGTGATTAGTGTCATCTTAAACGTTTTGTGTCACACTGCCGCCTGGGTGGAAGTGATTTCCAGTTCTCCTCAAACCAACCACACAGGCGGCTCTGCTCGTGTTGCACTTTTTGTCTTAAACCACTTTAAAGGTCACAAACGTCTCTTCGAGGCCATCGCGTTGGTTCTTGATATCAACAGAGTGTGTCCATCCTCCAGGCTGTCACTGTAACAAATGACAGTTTCTTTTCCTGATCACATTTGAAGGTTCATAAAAGCATGAGAGAGCAGAGTTAGAGCTGTTTCTCTTCTCCCTCGGCTTCTCTGTGGTGTCGTTAAATGTGAATTATCTGTTTCTGCGAGGTTCAAAGCGCTCGGGGTTTTGGCTGGATGGAAATCAGCAGATGCAGACTGAACACAAACCAACCCATGCAGCAAACCCTGATTAAAATATAAAACTAAATAAAGAGAAGCAGCAGCTGGAACCGCTCCTGCTTCACGGAGTTTCATATTGAACTGAAAACTGCTGTCAGGCAGCACAAAGTTGTTTCAGAGACTTTTAAAAATCATCTTTGAGCTGACAAGAATACTTAATGACGAGGTGGGCGTGGCAATGGGCAGATTTACAGGGAGGTTAAAGTAGATCCCGGACGAGCTCCCAAACTATGTTCTACATACTCCAACAGCATCAGCTCAGTCGGAGCATCTCTGATAATTAACCTGCTTGTAACCTGTAAGACCGGTCGGAGCGGGCACGCTCCGTTTTGCGTAACTATTTTTAAATCCCTGTACAACTGCAACCGTGTAAGCTAGCGCAATAATTTTAGTTGCATATGGAACCGGAGGAGTTGTACTTACATCTTATGCCATCAGCTTGTGCTCGGTCACGGTTTCCTTCCACATGTAGCTTTGCAAAAATGTCGTAAAAAGTATTTGCAGCAACATAAACATAATATTCCAGAAACACGCTTTGCCGATCCGATCAGCTGTTCATAACACCTCCTACGTTGGAATAGACGCCAGCGCGAACTATCGCGTGTCCGCCATGACCTGCCCGAAACCGGAAGTGACATCATTTTCACGGAAAATGTAGTTTTTTACTTTCAGGGCCTTATAAGCCTATACTGGTGTTTTTATAAGTCATGCTTGACTTTTAGCTTTCCTGAATAGTTTCCGGGATGCTTAGAACTCAAACTGCACTGCTGGAAATAGTTTATTTTCATGCACACGCTGTTTTTTTGCAAATTAGCATTATAATATTTATTTTGGTTTTCCCTGCAGGACATAAAAATTGGTGTATCTCAAAAATAAAACTTTGAAGACACTCAAAATAAATTTCCTGTGGCTAGAAACTATTTTGTGCAACTTTTTTGTATTTACAGTTTTGAGGAATAAAACTGGAAATATATGCAAATAAAAACAAAAATGATTTTCAATTTTTTTTTTGTAGTTTATTGCACTGTTTTGCAATTTATGTAGTTTCTATGAACTTAAAGCATAAATATTAATAAAATTTGGGCTATAATGGTTGTATTGATGTATAGCAACTTGAAATGCTCCCAAAAATGGCTCCACAGCATGTAAAATATAAAGATAAGCTCTGGCAGACTTGGCTCTGTGGTAGGTCTTAAAGTAACGATGCGTTGACTTGGATCAGGCTCGTGTCTCTTTAACGTGTTGCAGTTCTTTGTATTGTTTTTGCTGTTTGACTACTTTTAAAAGTGTTTCTAAAACATGCCAGTTTTATTTTGTTTGCTTAGATTATTTTACTTTGCACGCAAAAACAAAATGATTTCACAAAAACTTATTAGCTTCCCTGATGCTAACGGTCAGCGGTGTGTCCTGTTTGCTGGGTAACAGCCTGCAGTCGTCTCCTGAGCGATCACACATCCTTCTATCTTCATCATTCCTCCCACCTCAATGAGATTCCCAGACACTGAAGTGTCACCAGAACATACTGCCACCACTGTGCTTCACTGTGGGGATGCTCCTTTGGGTCGTAGCCCGTCTCCTTTCTCCAAACTCTGTGCACGAAGCTCTACTTTCATCTGATCTGACCAAAGTACACTGCAGTCTGTAGAATCTGCATAGAGTCAGCATACCTCAGTGCGACATGCAGAAGTGGACTATTTCCCGGTCTGCAGCCTCTCAGTGCATCCCTGTGCGATTCCCGACTCGGCTGAGTCATCCACGAGTGTCTCTTCAGTGGTTCTGGGCTCTTTAGACTCACTCGTTTTGAAATCGTTGCTTGGTTCTGCCCGGTCTGTTCTCGGTGACCGTCTTTGGATTTCTTGATGATGCTTCCCTCTGCAGTCCTTCACACATGGAAAAGCCGAGACAACTTTGTATGTTTGTCTTTGTGAGCATTAAATTCTTCTAAAGTCTAAACTGATTGCTTTGGCACGAAGCTTCCTCAGTGACGGCTCAAACCCTGGCTGGGGTTTGTAAAGCTGGAAGATAACCCTCAGATTTAACATTCAGCTGTAACTGAACCTGACCCCACGCTCGGACCCTGCTCGATCCAGCCACCTGAATCTTTAAAAGTCCTTAACTCTGATGTTTTCTTCATTTCGGGTTCCTGGAACTCATTTCAATAAAATGAACCATTAACTGTTATTACTGTCAGATAAGTAGAAATGAATAAATAAAGAACTTCTTCACATTCACTCGTGTTTTCTATCCGCCGTCAGTCTGCTTCACATTACTGACTCAGCCTGAGGGAGATGTTGCTGTTATTATGGAGGGTCATGACTCACATGTGGACGCACGCACACGCACACACACGCACACACACGCACACGCACACACACATACACACACACACACATACACACACACACAGTGCGTGATGTTTTCTCCTTCCTCTGGCGGCTCGATTCTTGTGGTCACCATCTCTAACCAGCCGCAGCTTTATCGTCCGACACTGTTTTAATCCTCGTGTGAACCGGCTTACCCACAATGCAGCGTTCCCTCACCCTCCTCCCACCCCCAAAGCCGCCAGAGATGAAAGCGGAGCCGACGGGTTCTCCGGAGATCACGACAGTCGGAACAACAGAATTACTGGTGTTGTGGTTGCGGCTTTGCGAGGAAGATGTTAGAGCTGAAGAAGCCATCCGTTCCCCTGTCGACGCTTTTTAAGTTCACATCTGATTTCTGAGATGGTTCAATTTCAAAAAAACAGAGACATCCGCCGTGCCAGAGAGGAGACTTCAGAGGATCGGAGGTTGAACTCGGACGATAATCTGTCTGCAGACGAGTTGTCGGAGAAGCAGGACTTCCAGGACTACAGCTGCACTCAGAGCTACAGCGTGTCCACACTGTGGAATCTAATTCTGAATTTACATTTGTGTTAGGATAAAACTTCAAACAATGAAAACAAGACCGCACATGAGAGAAACTTCTAATAAATTCTAGTTCACACAGACACGTTAAAGCACCATTTCTTACAGATAATCGATAAATACCAAAGTCAAAGGCGCTCAGACAAACATCGGCTGTCCCGGCTGGAGAGATGCACAGACATGATGCACTGGGCCGTGAAATAAACCGAACACACCGTGCTGGTTCAACACGGACCAATCCAAACCTGGGTGATGTTGACTCAGCACGTTGGATGGTGCTAGCAACCCCATCAGTTTCTTTTTGCCAATTAGCCTTGGAAACCACATGCAGTAGCATCTACCTGTCAGTCAAAGAAACCACGCCCCCAATAATGCAAACTTTACACAACTTAAACAGGTGAGTAAACAAACAGTTTGTGTGTCAGGCTGTAAACGTGTTTATTTCTGCTCCAACGTTTTAAGGGGACTGGCTCGCTGCCGGAGCCTCTGGTGGACATCAGGGGAACTGCAGTGTTTGGCACATGTGCAGTAGATGAAAGCAGCGACTGTGGAACATCAGGAAATGTCCTGTGAAACTAAAACTAGCAGCTGGAGGACCTAAAAATTAAAAAATGTAAATATGTGAAGGTCAGCAGCTTCAGGTCTGCAGCCAGCAGGGGGCAGAAGCCGCCCGCTGCGACCTCTCTGAGGACTGTTTGAGGTTTTGTGGGTGAATGTCCCATCGCAGCCCCGTGTGGACTGCATTACCCACAATTCCCTGGAGGGTGAGATGAAACCGAAGCAGCAGTGTGACTGAGGGGTTAGTGGTCTGAATGCACACACAGCGCAGCGGGACGTGGCCGCCGCCGAGTGTGTGCGCTGTGATGTATGACAGCTGCTCTGCTGCTGCTTTCATGTGGTGAAGAGTTTTTATTACAGGCACTTCAGTGAGCGAGGAAGAGGAGGAGAAGATGAGCGGGGAGATTAGAGGAGGAGGAAGGCCTTCATCGGCTGGCCTTTTGAGGAGGTTTCCTCTGGTGGGCTTCGGGTTATTAACGCTGATCCTTCATGATCTCACCACCTTTTATTTAATCAGAGTAAATTTCATATCTACCTGCTGGGAAGCATCGACTTAATGAAAATGATTTTATTCCCCACAGTCGGCAGCACAAAGTCAGTGTCTGCTGCCTCAGAACTTCCTAAAGTCCTGGGAAGTTGTTCTACCGGAGTCCTGAAACTTATTTCTTTGATCGTGTGTTAGTGTATCGAGTTTCTGCTCTTCTCTCGTGCTCTGCCATCTGCAGCACAACACAAACATGTTGCACTGCAGTGAAAAAAACCTGACCTGAAGCACATCGATGTAGTTGTTGAAGTCCAGCTCAGTCAGCCAGGCTGTCCCAGCGTCTTTTCACTTTGAACCTGTGAAAAACAAAAGCTGAGCAGACGTGAAGTCGGAGGTGTCCCATCAGCTTTAAGGCGGTGCCCACATCACTCATGCAGTAACCTGTGAAGAGATGGAGGGGAGCGCGTTCAACTTCTGCACAAGAGAAAACACGTTCATATTTATGTTGGAGGAAGTCTAGCTGCAGTAATATTCATGCTTCATCATTTTGGATTATACACAAGCTGAGCAGAGGTATGGACGTGAATGTAAGAGCCTGTCAGAGGTTAGACGTGTGCGGTTGTAAGCGTGCTGTCAGAGGTTTCTATCAGACTGAAACGTCGCTGTGTTCATGTTGTGTGTTTTTCTTTCAGGGCTTCAAAACCAAAGACGGGCACATCGTTGTGGCTGCAGGCAATGAAAAGCAGTTTCTCCGAGTCTGCCAGGTGAGTCCGTTTACCTGTACGGACACAGACATGCTACCATGGAAACAGCTGGCTTGAAGAATGTTTCTCCCACTCACTCTCTGCTGTCTGTGGAAATCTGCAGGTCATGGAGCTGACGGAGCTGACGGAGGAGCCCAAGTACAAAAGCAACAAGCTGAGAGTCGAGAACCGCAAACAGCTGCTGCACACACTGTCACAGAGGTACACACACACACACTGTACAGAGAAGCAACACACACACACGCAGACACACACATCAACACACACACACACACACATGTAGACACACACAGACACACACAACGCACTGTCCGAGTACACACACACACACTGTCACAGAGGTACCACACACACCACCACCACAACTGGTACGCAAGTCACTACACGATGCCGATCACACACACACACACATGCACACACCACACACACACCACACACACACACACATGTCACAGAGGTACACACACACTGGGAGGTGTCTGTCAGGCGTCTCTTCCTGTTGAAAAAGAGTTCTTCTTCCACGTGGTTGCCAAGTTGTTCACTGTCATCATCATCGGGAGCCCTGAGGTCCTTCATTAGAACAGTGATGAAGAGACAGGACAGTTTGACCAATCAGAACATGTTTTAGGTAAATGTTATCCTCTTCATCTGTCTGTCAGGTTCCTGCAGGAGACCACGGCTGATTGGCTGAAGAAGTTCAAGGGCTCAGGTGTTCCAGTTGGGCCAATCAACAGCATTCAAGAAGTGTTCTCCGAGCCACAGGTCAGTGACGACACTCATCCTCCGTCTGTGGTTGAGTGGAGTAGGGCTGGGCAATATGGCCTAAAATCCATATCACGGTATAATTTGAAGCATGTGCTGTAACGATATATATCGCGATATATTCTTTTCTTGTGTGTAACATATTTAACACACTATAAGGCACACTAAAAATCCTTTAATTTTCTCAAAAATCGACAGAGCGCCTTATGTATGAATTCTGGTTGTGCTTACTGACCTCGAACCGATTTTATGTGCTACACGGCGCTCACAAATCTGTCAAAAAATGTTTACGACTTTGCTAAGCTACGAAGCCGCACCGCTTGATGGATTGTTGGACCATTACAGCTACCGTAGTCAGGAGCCTTGCGGAGTAATCTGGGTCCTAAACTCCGTCTGCTTCAGGTCCCAAAACCAAACGAACACTGCAGCATCACTGAGAGTTAAAAACTGTCTAAATTCTTTCATCTTTAATACAATGATCAGCGTTGCAGTTTTACCAGGTGTAACAATTAAGTTTAACATCCAGGCATCCATGAAAACAGGATTCATTAAATTTAACAGTTAGAAGTTAGCAGGAAGTTAGCTCGCTAGCTTCCACCTAAACATGATATAGCATGTTCTGACTGAGAGACTTCTGAAACATTCAAACGTACAGCTCTGCTGTCACTTTAAACATGAATGAAGACAGAAAACTAAACAGCAGTGGCGTTTGTAGGGTTACTGAAGTTGGGCTAGCTGTTATATAATGATGTGCTACGTGAGCGCTAGCTACACAGCTATGTTAGCATAATAAACACAGTGAAGCTGGAGGATGAACGCTAACTTTTTTCCACTCGATAAAAGTGGAAAAAATTCACACTGTTTATACCGCCCACCCCGCATGGAGGCTGGAGCGGATCAGATGAGTCAGGTTCAGCTCACACAGAGACGATTATCACGCGTGAGCGACTACCATGGACCCACGGGCCGCTGATAAAGATGTGAGGTGTAGCACGTGATACGGCGTGTGTCAGTATGAGTGCGTGAGTGTGTCTTGTGCAAACATGAATACCTTGAGCAGGTATGGCGATTGTTTCAGCTGATTGAATGATCAATATCTACAAACATCTGGCTATGATTAAGCTCCAGCTGTTCCTCCAGGGCAGTGCAGACTCAGTGTCTGAGGGTCACCTGAATGCTGTAGAGCACCTGTGTGTGTGTGTGTGTGTGTGTGTGTGTGTGTGTGTGTGTGTGTGGTGGTGTGTGAGTGTGTGTGGTGGTGTGTTTGTGATGGATGCTAACTGATCTCAAATATGAAATTAAACACATTAGTCACAGATTACACAACTCAGCCTGTTACACACACACAGCTCCAGGCTGGTTTGTGTGTGTGTGTGTGTGTGTGTGTTGTGTGTGTGTGTGTGTGTGTGTTGTGTATAGAAGTGACAGAAACACGAATGGCATGAATCACTCTTTATGTCTTTTTTTGTCTGTAAAATCAAAACAATCACCTTGATTAGTCAAACAGTTTCCACTGTCATCCAATCATATGTGAGAATTGGGCATCTGCCCCGCCCTGTAGCCCCGCCCCCTGCCTGTGAGTCTTTGTTTTCTGGTTATGAATCAGAGCAGGCGCTGACTTCGCGCCTGAATGAATCGTGTCCGTTCGCTCGATGGCGATTGGGTGAAACGCTCTACCTTAAACAAATGTGACTCCGCCTCCTCCTTCTAGCAGACAGAATTCTGCAAACTGATTGATAAATATTGGGAGACGGTGTAGCACACGTCAGCAGGTTCAGGGGGTTGTTTTACTCTCTGGACCTGTTTGTGATGCTTTCGTCAGGCGACCTGACTTCGGTGACTTCAGGTGAGCCTGAACTGCTCTGCACTGATCTTTGTGTTTGGGGATGAAGACACACCCTGATTGTAGGAACCTTGTTCATAGGTAAAGGGAAGGTGATGCATTGTAGCTGTTGTTGCCCTCACCTGTGATATAAGCAGCATGAAGATAAGATAAGATAACCTTTATTAGTCCCACACGTGGGAAGTTTGTTTTGTCACAGCAGGAAGTGGACAGTGCAAAAGTTATGAGGCAAAAATTAGAATACAATAAGAATAAATACAGTACACAGCTGTACAGGATGAATGAAGCGTGTGTAGCTCAGCGATGAGCTGATGACCAGCACAGGCTGGACCGAGTATGGATGCATGTTTGAGTTCAAATAAAACAGAGTACAAATTTGTAGCACAGCTTCATCTTCATCATAGAGAAGATGATGTCGCCCTCCCTGAGACGCTGATTAAATTCCAGCTGTAACAAAAGCTAACAATATCAAACATCGTTATAAAAACAGGCTGTGAGGCTTGAAAAGATCCTGAGACGCTTTCACAGACACGAGAAGAGACGTGAGGATCAAAAGCATGAAGAGAGGAAGAAAAGGTGGCGTGCAGTACCGCTAACACGTGTCGGCCGGAGCGTGCTTATCGTGAAGATCGCGCACGAGACGAACACGTGACTTCAGCCGTCCTCTCGTCTGCTGTCGCTCAACTTTATCTGAATGTGTGTTTGTGTGTTTTCAGGACAACAGCTCCCATCACCACCTGGCATGGCCCGTCTTATAAAAGCTATGACTCAGAGAGTGTGTGTGTGTGTGTGTGTGTGTGTGTGTGTGTG